AGGCGCAGCAGCCGACGTTGTCGGAGTGGTCGAAGAAGGTGTGGCTGCACGCGCGCGAGCGCGCGTCCCACAGCCGCACCGTCTTGTCGTCGGCCGAAGAGAGGAGCATCCTGCCGTCGGGCGAGAAGGCGGCGTCGCGCACCCAGTTGGTGTGGCCCGAGAACGAGTGCTTGAAGCGCTGCGTCGGGATGGACCAGGCCTTGACCGACTTGTCGTCCGACGTCGTGACCAGCTGCTGCCCGTCGCCCGAGAACGCGACCGAGTTGACGGGCGCCGTGTGCGCGCGGATCGAGACGCTCTCGCCCTTGACGTTCGCCGCCCACAGCCGGATGGTCTGGTCGCGCGAGCCCGAGGCGATGAGCGAGCCGGACGGTGCAAAGTCGACCGAGGTGACGGCGGCTTTGTGGCCGACGAAGCGGAACGCGCGCATCTGCATCTTGAAGTTCCAGACCATCACGGTCCCGTCGAGGCCGCCCGAGACGAGCTGCTTCATGGTGGGGCTGAACGAGACGGAGCTGACGCCGTCCTTGTGGCCGCGGAAGGAGCGCTCCAGCGCGGGATCCATGGGCTCCGGAGAGGGCATTGCCGGCGTGGCCGGCGTGGGGAGTGGGTGGGTAGCGGGAGAGCGTCGACAGCGACGGCCTGGCAGCAAAGAGCCGCGAGCGCGGCAGGAGCAAATGTGTTCAACGGCAGTCACCTACCGGGGGTAGAAGAATTCAACGAGGATTTAAAACAAAACTGTAATATACGGAGTTTCTGTCAGCCTCACTCATTCTCTTCGTCTTCGACTTCGGCCCCCCACCGCGCTTCACCGCCCTCTGCGCATGTCTTGTCGCCCTAGGGGCTCGGGCCCAGCCTGAACTCCACAATGCACTGTTGCAGATTGTCCCTTGTAACGTGAGAGAGTGTTCTGCACTTGGAGCACTTGGAGTGCAGTCATTAGCCTCACATCGACCCTCACATCCAGGGCCGGTGAGGTATCAGCCATCCGCTTTCTCATCCTCCTGCGCGCTGCGCGAGGGACCGAAATTCTGGAGGTGGCAGCCGGAGGTGGCCAGGTATGCCGGACTGGCTGGAGGTCGTCGAGGCCTTCACCTGCGACAGGCGAGTCGACGCGCGCGACCACAACGCGCTCGATGGCCTGCCATTCTACGCAGAGAAGGTAAGCCCACCGCCTGCCGCCGAGCCGTCTGCCACCGCTGTGCCTGGCAAATAGGACGCCTCTCCGCTGTGTCTGGGCGACGGCGCGGATAGAACCGGGTCGGCGTGTCGGCGTTCGTGGTGCGCCGGAGCTTCCGTGCTCTTGCCGCCTTTGGCTCCGCGTCTCTCAGCCACCTATTGCATATTGAACGGTCTTGATATGCTCGCACTCAACCTCCGAGATAAGCTCGCAGAGACAACCCGTTCTTCAACTCTAGGATTGAGGACGTTGTCCCCTCCATGGCGAGTTACGAACTGGCCGAGTTACCGGAGGGTCCGGACCACATTGGGCGAGTGGAGAGGAGTTGACCGGTGAGATTAAGGATTCCTAGCCTGTGTGCTGTGAAAAAAAAATGCGGAAAATGGTATGATAATAAACAGACATTATATCCACCACTTGCATGCACATAAGGC